ACGTTCTTTTTTTGAAATTCAAACTATAAAGAAAATTTTCACCCCAGTTTGGCGAGTACCATAGACAATAGAATATTGATTCAGTACTAAAAGAGCGCCTTTGTGAAATTTTAATTGACAGATTATAATACAGGAGCAGAAAAACATTTTTCATCACTTGAACGGTCATGAACTCTGCCACTTGTTGTCGGTGTAGTTAAAAGCCTTGTAAAGTCTTTCTATGGCAAATTGCACTGCGTGGCGGTCACGAGAACCGTCACTGTCATTGAAATACAAATAAAATGAAAGCATTTTATTTCAGACAGTAGGTATAGTTGCATGTCCATATGGTGTTAGTAGGCACTTACAACCTTACAATAATAACGCATAGAAACCTAGTCCGCACACACTAAGTGAGGCAAATTGAAGCGCTCCCAAAGGGCCTACACGAGCAGGCGGGCCTTCAGTGCTCAAGGTCAACTTGCACCGCGCATAGCTCCAGAATTTTAGCTAAAAATGACGAAATGTGCGGTAAATGAGTGTAAAAATACGTCAGACAAACATAAAATAGATACTAACATCACATTCCACAAGGAAGTAACGCGTTTCAACTTGTATTTTTATATAAATATTCACTAAAACAGAAAATTAACCTACTACTAAAACTAGCCTACATGAATTTGATTTTTGCCTCACTTGTGACAGTTCGTTTGATATGAAACTATCATTCTATGCCATATGCGTTATTATTCTAAGGCTACAGATCATTTTCTCGCCGCCTGTACCTACATCAAATTGGAATACATAAGACATTCCAATAAAATGTAGGATTTCCTTGATACTGGCATCTAAACTAGATCAATAAAATCTGGATCAGACATTTATCATTCAGATTTATCGTTAAACATTTCGAAGAAACTCGTATGTAAAAGAAGCATTTAGTTTATTACGTGATATGTCGCGTCCTTATGTCATTAATAATAAAATTGTGATGATCACCGATACGTCTTTGGTAGGATTTATGAATATAACCACGCGATTGGATATTTAATCGATTTTAATAGTACAAAATATATTCTATAGTGATAAATTGTGTTACAATATGAATAATTGGTAAGAGATGATTATTAGCGTTGGTCATTGTCAACCGAAATAGTTTAATGTGTATTTTCGATTAGTCATAAATATGTTCAAATAGCATTTCATCGCGATAATGGATAAAGCTTTTTCCGTCATACAGATGACCTCAGGAGGTCTTTTAATTAATTTATTTTGTTAGCGCAATACTTTTAACTACAACACTTTCAGCAAATACCAATTATACAGACCATTTTAAAAATGATGACCTCAAAAGCATTCATTTATTTAGGATATTCATATTCCATAAAGTAAAATTATTTGAATTTACAACTACTAAGCTTGTTTATTTACCGGTTGTAATTATTAAGTGTGCCAATTCCGTGAAAGAGATATCAAAAACCTGATATCGATATTGTCACATTGACAAATTGTCAGCTGTGAATTTGTAGTATTGTTAGGTTAGCCAACCGGAGTACGTTTACGCGGGAGATACGGATGATAGAGTCGCCATACTGGTTAATGACTCCGAAAGAATCGGATGTGTGCCAACTCATGAACTCATCGTGTTTCACATTTTTAATCGAAATATATCCGCGTGATCTGCTGAACCGTTGTTATATTGTACTCTTAGGGCATCAAGATATAGGCGAGTAAATTGGCCCCATTAAATTGGCCTCGTACGACGTACCATCCCTTTTCATGTACGTCTTGCGCATCTTGCAAGACTTTTCACCGCGATGGCGAGCATTACCATGAAGGCCATGGATACAGATAAGAAGAAGATTGGCCCCACAGGCTCTTTTATGTATCAATGGATTTAGTAATTATCATGTTTTCTTCCTGTGCGCGTATTTTATTTACCTGTATTTGAGTCATCTGATCCAATTTGCCCTTCTCCTGTAGAGACTTCAACTTGCCGCACCACTCATCTCTCTGGTCGTAAGCCAGCGTTGACGACTCAAAGAGATCAGTGAGGAATTTCTTCCCTTTGCCCAAGACCGTCAGCATTTTCTTCCAGCAATGGTTGAACAGGTTTCTAGAAATTGCGTAATTTAATATTTCTTTGATCAAAGAGTCAACGTACAGCCTAAGAAATCTTCGAAGGTAGTACTTAGGTTCAACATTATTCAAAATTGATCTACGCGGTCTGTACTAATAATTCTCTTCACTTCAACTCCTGAAATCGTCAATTAAAACTTATCCTAAACTGCCTCCGTGGTTGAACGATTACCATGCCGATTGTGACGCAGAGGTCCCAGGTTCGATTCCCGGGTTGGGAGAAATATTTGGATGGCTTACATTTATTTCTCTCGTGAGTTTGGGTGTAATTTTTGGTTGTCCATGGCACCCGCGACACAGGATTCCCCTAGCGCGGGGCTATGTTGAGTGTGTGCGTTATTTATAAAGTTTTAAAACCTGGATACAGCAAACTTTACAAAGTCACTACCTGTGATCTAATTTGCACTGTGTGGGCGCTAGACGAAGATGTCCCGATTTCGATTCCCGGCTAGGACCAATTTGGGAAAAAACTTTTTTAAATTGGTTCTGATCTAGGTGTGTGGAGTGAATTACATTGCTCTGAAACTCAAACTACGTTATTTACTGAAATTTCCTAGTCTGAAACCAGGTACGTAATTAGTGTGATTAATTGGCACATTATTTACGTGTCAGATACGAACTATTTGTGCGTTTGATGAATCTGACATTCTGTGACGACCATCTTCCTGCTCCATTATCGTCTGACCTTGATCACTGAAGACCAATTCAACGAGTCCAAACTCAGCGAGTCTATGTTTAATAAAGCTGAGTCCACCTTCAGATTCGTAGGGCAAATGAGATAGAAGCAAGTCCCCAGCTGGGAATCCTCACTACCTGTCCTTAAGCATATTATCAATCTCTTCTCGAATTTTAAGGTTCTCGCTTTGCACGCTGTTGAATCTCTTTTGCGTTGTCTCCAGTCTGTTCTCAGTCGACAGAAGACGCAACTCGCTTTGGTATCGCCTCCGGTTCAGCTGTTTTGAAAGAAAAAAGTATCATAGATAACATTACTACTGTATTATCGTATTAATCACTGAAGAAACATGGAGCAAACACTTGACTGGATTTTTTGGACTTTTTTACCGTTGGTCACATATTCATACATCATATTGTTGATAGAGATTCTTTGACAATGAGATTCTTTTAAAATGGATTGGTAATCTTTAAAAATGCCTTACCTCTCCTACACTTGTAGTAACAGCTTTTTTTAGTTCCAACATTGCTTTGCTTTTTCTGCTTAGCAAGTCCTCTATTTGTTCCATTAATGTGACTCCATCTGTAACGAAGAAGCCAAACAACCAATCAATATATTATTATCAAAATTAGCTTTGATTTTGATATGGAAGCAATTTCTTCTCATTCGCATTGACTTCATGATCCTTACGTGATTAAAATACACTTTTGTTTTTTATTTGTACCGTTATTTTTATCAAATCTAAAAATCTAATATTTTCTAAATTTTTCAAGATACTCTTGACAATAGTTTCGTTTCATGCAGAACCAATAATTATATGTGCAGGTTTGCTTAACCGGGCATGTCATGAGTTGTGCTTAATGGTCCGAAAGAGCTAATTCACAAAGTTCAGTTTTTCCACCGCGTATATAATGAATAACATTATCTAAACATGTTCCACTTCCGAGTCTTGTGGGCTCTTTAACTGATAATTTAAGATTATAGCTCTCGATCAGCTGGATAAACGAGGTGATATATTTGGATTTTATAAAAATATTTACATTAAAGTCTCCGTATACTATAATCTTGTTTTTGTTATTAGATATAATTAGGTTCAGAACATCATCAAAATGGTTAAAAGATGACTGAAAATGTCTTGTAGTATCTTTAAATTTCGGTCTCTATATACACTCAGAATTACTATTTTATTTTATTAGTTATATTTATTTATCCAAATGGACTCATGTTCTTTTATCGCCGTGTCTATCACATATGTTTTATGTTGTGATATTTAAAAGAAATTATGATTGTGATTTCACCGTCAGCCTCTTTTTGTGTTTTCATCATCAGTAGCACCGACCTTTTCATCTCTCTTTTCATTTCTCTTTCGTTTTGCTTATGGCGGCCCGAACGTGCTATCTGAAAAATTAACGCTTGTTAAAAGTACTATTTAGTTATATTACTGTTAATTGTAAACGTATATTTATTGTCAACTTATTGGCTGTGCACCATATTTGGGATCTATGAGGAAGCGTCACGCATTATACATTTCGTTGTTTGAACAAACCAATACTTGTCCTTGGCTACAACATTGTAGACTGAAATGCGGTACAATAAAGTGTTTGTATTTAATGCTTACGATATCATATTCGTAGACTGATTAAAATTTATATTCACCTTCAGATCTTTCTTGAGACTGATATACTCGTCCTTGAGGACCTTAAGTAACGCATCAGAACGACGGAACTGGGGATGAACTCCGGACTTTTCATCGTTGCGATTTTGCTGGATTACACGCACCTGGAATTAATTGCAACACAGTGTGAGAACTTTAGTTACTACCTTTTTATGATTACCAGGTGATGGGATGAACAAGTCGTGCGCTTGGTGGTAAGCAACATACTTATCCATAACAATTGCAGCGCCACGCAGAGCTTTAATCGCTAAGACCAGGTACTGTCACTGCACACGTCACTCTGAGCGTGGAGTTCTACTGTAATATGTTGAATTGTAGTTGTGATCGGGGCTCAGCTACTATGTTTTCTGAATTCCTAGTCTTAGTTAAAGGTTAATATTCGAACCTGTCTCTGTAGTCTGAGATGTTCGTCTTCCATCCTCCTCAAAATTTCACTTTCAGAGAAGTGATTATCAGGAGATAGCATGGTATCGGCCATTTTTAGTCGATTGTAGTAAAAAGAGTGTTATAATGTAAATTTAATTATAAATCAAACTAAATAAGATAAAAAATTCCGCTGAATTGCCGAAGCCTACTTGATTTGTTTGTAAATATCTCTCTAGTTTTTTTTTCAAGTTTTTTATTGAATGTCACGATGTTATACTACCATGATATTCAATTTGCTCCACTAGTTTGTTATAATTTATTAATAACAAATATCAAACACGTTTTTGGTTGTTTTTAACGACTTTTTATGCCGTGGCGCCATCTGTGAGAAATCTGACTGGTTGTTACGTACGTTACAGTCTTACGTATGGTGAGCACGGAGTCACTTCTAATATCTTTATTGGATCACTGAGACAATGTACACGGGCACAAAATTACAAAATTTCACCAGCATCCTTATCCTTCAAAACAGCAGAACAGTAATGTAAATAATGGGTATAGGGACTCTTGCATAAGGAGCTGAAGAGCCTATGCAGACGCCCTATTTCCACAGGTAAAATAAATTTACACTTGAAAATGTCACATTTAAGCTACTGCTTGTTCACTACGCTGACTTCCCTGAGAAGAACGAGCAAGAAACTCTAGGGATTGCTCTTTTCAAAAAAAGCTTAAATGCTATGGAATACACTTTGAATCAAATTTGTGTGAAATCTATAACCATGTCGTCATTCCATATATCTTTATCTAACACGTAGTCTTAAAATTTGTGATATGACTTTTCAATCAAAATATTTTTAATGTAGTTTTTAAACTTAGGAAATGATAATCTTGATGTAATATATATGCTCGGGAATCTTATTGTAAAAACGTATACAGTTCCCCATAAAAGAGTCGTTTACTTTGGTTAAACGAAATCGTGGTAACATGAGTTTGGACTTAGCTCTAAGTTTAATATTATGGATATCTCCTTGGCTCGAAGGATTGGCAAGTTGAAGTGGCAGTGGGCAGGATACATAGCTCATAGAACTGACGGCCATTGGGGCAGAAAGGTTCTTGAATGGAGATCACGAACCAAAAGGCGTTCAGTGGGACGGCGCCCTACTAGATGGACGGATGACCTGGTAGGGTGGCGGGTAACCGGTGGATGAACATTGCGTCCGATCGGCTGGTCTGGAAATCTTTGGGGGAGGCCTATGTTCAGCAGTCGTCGTCTTCCAGCTGACATGATGATGATGAAAGGAAAAGTGGGAGAAGTCCAATAAACGGATTCATCCCTTTATTTGCCGCGATTAGACGTAAAATATTTTCTTCAAATTTGAATGGGAACACAATGAGGCACTCTCTTTCCAACAAAAAATAGAAATCATCGAAATCGGTTCTCAAATGACGAGATAATCGCGTACATAAAAAAATACAGTGGATTGAAAACTATCTTCCCTTTTTAACCGACTTCAAAAAAGGAGGAGGTTCTCAATTCGACTGTTCTTTTTTTTTTTTGTATGTATGTTACGCGATAACTCCGGTATTTGTGAACCGATTTTCATGATTCTTTTTTTGTTGGAAAGGGGGTACTTCCATAGTGGTCCCATTTCACTTTGAAGAAAATCATCCACCTCGAAGGGTGGCTGTTGCACGCATGAAGATTCATTTTTATAAATAGCGCCTAATTTAATTTAGGAGCAATTACTTTTAGCAATTATTTAGTTGATTTTGCTATTTCTCTAATTCAAGGCGTTTTTCTCTCGATATACTTTGAGTAGTGTCGTAGTGAGAACCTATTTTTATTATCTCCAGGGTCAAGTCCTGTATAGTGGCGAACTAGGGGATATTTCAATGAAACTTAGCAAATAGACGTAATTCCACGTAATTTTGAGGTCGGTTTTTTTAGTACTCTGTACTGAGATTACATTTATACATTTTCTGCAATACAATGTTTATAAATCAAATTGAAATGGCGCGGCTTTGAATATGGAGAAACCTAATATTTGCACAATTTTCATACGTTGTCTACATTATATATATCTATGGTTCCGTACAGTTGTTGTAGTATAAAAGTCTTCTTAACTTTTTAACCGTCGAACAAAGGGAACTACCGATCACAATTCACACAATGGCACCAGATGTTCAGCTCTGGGCTATTATGTCTCACCTTTTCTCAATGTTACGGGCAAAGTGTTACTCTTGACGAATCAATAAGGGCTTTTCTTATTTTTGTTTTTTATGTTACTAAGTAATGGGACGCAAAAGTCGTGCGCCTGATGGTAAACGACACGCCTGTCTATAACTGAAGTGCCACTCAGAGCTTTAAGTCGCAAAGATGGTGGACTGCCACTGCGCCCGTCACCCTGAGACATAAGTTGAAAAGTCCCATGTGCCTGTAATTTCACCACTAACGGCTAGGTAATAGGAAAGTCTGTGTGAGGTGAAACTTATACGATTAAATCATATTAAAAAAACTGGGTACAATGGTATAGAAATGACCGTCAAATCATAATATAACAAATATGGTAGGAGTAGAGCTCCTTGTTAACGAGATCGTCCAGGGAAGTACTGCCACCTTACTTACTTGTATACCGCCAAGCTACATTACTATGTGAGCATTACTGCGTTCCGGTTTGTAAGGGTGTTGCTGACTAGCACATGGGACTTGTCAACTTATGTCTCAGGGTGACGGGCGCAGTGGCAGTGCCCCTAAGGTCTTTGTGGTCCCCTCGCTTAATAATATAAAAAAAGAGTAATTCCAGACAAATGTAATAGAGCGGCTTGTATGTGTGTACGCTTGGTGCGTGCCTTGTACTGACGCACACATTCTTCTCGCAGTACACTCGCGTTGCATAACGCGCCATTCGTTATAATGGTGTAGATATCAAATGGTAGACGTGTTTATAGTCGTGTACATGGTTGTTTGAACAAGTGTACCTCAAATTGAGAATTGTTGAGCATTTTATTTCTATTTCACAATCATTTCGATCAATCATATTTCTATTTCATCAATTCTCAATTAAATATTTCTAATACTCGACGTATTTCAGTATTATGTAAATATTGCATTTAAGAAAGTTTATTTCAATATAGCACGAGAATATAGTGATGGATACTTAGTTTTTCTAAAATTATGTTTAGAACCTGTAGGTACAACTAGAATGATAAGGTGTGTAATATAATATTTCATATGAACATATTTAATCCAACCGTAATTTAATATAATTTTACTTAATGGAAACTTTTTCAAATAAAAACTAATTTAATAATTTATTAATATAAACATACATTGTATAATTTAATTTTTGATAACAATCATTCCCCTAACACTTTTTTTAAATAACAATTATAGAATAGAATAGAATATAGAAAAACATTTATTTCTTAAGTAGACAACACAGTACACATGCATTTTGTAATAATAACAATAAAAATAGTACTAACTACAAATATATAGAAGAGTACAACGCGTGTGTGCTGTGCTGCCAAGGAAACCGTGACCCACTGAGCTTATTCACTTATGGTGCTACGACGCTGATTTTCAGCGGATCCGGCAACAGAACACACGTGACACGGAACATAGTAGCCGTGACAGATTGACAATTATGTCCTTAAAACGCACAAAATATGTCAGAACGAACCTTAGACTACTTTTATTTTTTTCCATCCTCTAAGGAACGAACAGATTATTGACACAGTACAAGAAGTAATGACGTTACCACTTACATAATATACGCGTTAAAATGTGAAATTAATTTCATAAAACATGTATAAATATTAGAGTTAGTCACTTTGTGACATTAGTTAGAAATAATATCACAAAATGAATATAAATGTAGACAGTTATGTATTTTAACAGTAGACATTATTACGTCACATATAATTAAAAATAAAATTGGTATAGTGAATAATTGAATAAAATTGACATACAAAAAACAGAACCAAACAAGGAAAAATAATAAAAAATATAAAAAAGTAATCTAAACAATAATAATCTATATAATACGAACATTGATGACCCCGACACATCAACAGCCATGTTGAGATTGTTGAACATTTATTAAGTAAGCCCTGAGTAGTCTTTTAAAAGTAAAAATCGACGAGATTTATTATAAGATATAAACCTCAGTTTACTTAATTAACAGATTATTAACTTGAAAGAAATGTAACCTAAAACATATTCGGAAATGCAAAACAATTCGCGACTGGCACTCGCCGGCCGCTGCTGCGGCACGCTCGCTTCGTTTACTTGGCTCGTGCTGCTTTTTCGCTCCCACATTTATATAGCGAGCGGCTAGAGAGTGGAATTCCCTACCTTACTTACTTCCATAGTGGTCCCATTTCATTTTGAAGAAAATCATCCACTTCGAAGGGTGGCTGTTCACGCATGAAGATTTACTTTTATAAATAGCGCCTAACTTTAATTTAGGTCCAATACTTTAATGGTTGATTTTGCTATTTCTTCCATTCAAGGCGTTTTTCTCTTGATATACTTTGAGAAGTGTCGTAGTGAGAACCTATTTTTATTATCTCCAGGGTCAAGTCCTGTATAGTGGCGAACTAGGGGATATTTCAATAAAACTTAGCAAATAGACGTAATTCCACGTACTTTTGAGGTCGGTTTTTTTAGTACTCTGTACTGAGATTATTGTAATCGCTCTTGTCACTAGCACTCATTTTCGCTACCAAAATACAAAAAACTAAAAAACAAAAGAATACCAAAACTCTTTAGTTTATATGTTACCGCCGTTTTCTTTTTTTTTCAAATAAGTGGTACAGGTAGGTATTTTGAAATCTCGCAACTATGAACACTGGGCAGTTGGCTGTATGAGTGTTTTTATTTTGTCTGTTTACATAGTTCATTAATATTGATAAATTTAAAAGTTTAGAGAAGTGGACAGTAATAGATTTTCATATTTAAAGTAAGTACTACCTACGACCTTGGCCGGGAATAAGTCGCACAGTCCTTAAATGAGAAACTTTCCGATTTCGTTTTTTTGAAAGTACCTAATGCAAACATTTCCGAGTATGTTTGATAAAAATTAGTTTATTTGGTTTTCACACAAATAAGGCGCACCCAAAATAATAGTTGTACTTGTAGTAGTTGCACTACTG